TTTGATTTAATATATTTTTGTTATAATTTTTCTTTTTTTTATATTCTTGCTTTGTCTGAGACAATTCATACACTTAATTTGCTTGTAATTATTATTTTTTCTTATTACCTCCTCTGCTTTTGGTCCTTTTTTTCAATTCTTTTTTTTTTCTTCAGCATTTATTCCTAAAAATGCTGTTTATTCCACACTTGTAAATTCCTGAAAATTTTAGCAAGTGATTAAATGGGAATTTTTCCACGTCTGTGAGTCGTTGTTAGAATGCTCATATGTCGTATTCTTTATGTGGCAGAATTAAAGGATTATTATATGTTCGGATTATATTTTTTATAAGTTCTTTGTTTCAGTTTGATTATTAGGAAAAAGAAATGGGATCTAATATCATGAAACGTTCACTGATAAAAATGCGTGTATATAGAATTTCCCATTCTCCTAGGGAAAGTAAAGTCTTATTTTAATTTAACAAAAGTCTTGTTTAAACGAGTACCATTTTGTCTGACATAAAAATGAATTTCCTTTAAATTTTGATTTTCTATATTTCTTTGGTTTTATATATGGCATTTCTAGACAAGTGAAGGATATTCGTCGGCGAATGCAAGATTTTGATAAAGAGAATGTAGAAGTACAACGAGAAATCGCGAAAGTAAAGAATGAAATTGCAGCATTGACTCGAACAACGAATGCAGATACTAGAAATTTGGCTACGCGTCTTAACGAAGCTCTTAATAAAGTTCATTACAACTAAATATTTCAACTTTATTCTCTTTTTAGTCTAATTTCTAAATTTACAAGTTTTTCAACAGTTTTAGCATTCCAGATAATTTTTCTTGATTTTCCAGTTTTAATTTGCATTAGTCGTTTTATTTTATTTTTTTCCAGTGCAGTTTTCTGAAAATAATGTGCGTATTAGATAAATTTTAAAACTATGATTTTGTGTACTAATTGGAGAATATTGCTGATTTTATTTCATTATAGTACTTGGATGCCGAAAAACTCTACAAAGAAGATTTCCGCAAAGTGGATAGCCTAAACAATTATTTGGTAACCATGCTGAACGCATCTGATGATGACAGCACTTTCAACACATCACATTCAAGCAGTGTGTTGAGTGAACGAAATATAAGTTAGATAAAGTTTAAGTTTAGTGGTAATTGAGTTTTTAGTTATCAGTTATTTAAATGTTCTTTGTTGAGATTTGATATGATACTTTATGTTAAAATAAAATAAGAAAAATGTCATCAAAATCAAAATTTCAACATATATGAATGAACGTCTCACATCATTCATTCAATTATGTCTTTTTTTTTCGAAAATATATCGATTTTCATTCCCACGTTTTATCGATAAAATTCAGGAACTTAACTTCAAATCTATTCACGAAAATTGTTTCATTTAAATCTTTGCCGTCATATTTAACGAAAAAGCGAAGTTTGTTATGTTACATACAAGTATATGTATATACTTCTACACGTACTTATGCGTAGCATTTGTATGTATTTCCATGTATGCATAAATTAGTTAAATAAAATCAAATGATAAAAAAGCACTTCGTTGGAAACTAAAAATTTGTCATTGGTTTATTTTTTTTTACTTCTTATGTATTTTTTTTCCTTTTAATTTATAAATTTTTTACTGTGTCTAGAGATTACGTATTATTTTCCAATTGTAACAATCGGTCGTTTATAATTTTAAGCACTCATCCTTCTAATTTTTTGATTGAGCAATTCGTAATGCGAAGATTGATGTTTGCAACAACGTTCCTTTTTTTATTTTTAAACTAACTAAATGAATGATCGAAAACTAACGTTTCTAATATTTAACACCACTATTAATAATATTCTCTTATTATTTACTATTATTATTAAATTATTACCGATTCTTATGATCAGCATTTATTAAGTATTTAATTACCAGCCTTTCCCCCATGGTATCATATTAGTCATAATATAAGCTTAGTGTGGCAGAGTAATCTCTTTTAAATGTAGTTCCAAAAAAAAAAAATACCCACTCTATGCTCATCACTGACTAGTTTTACATGGTAGATATATTTGCAAAGCACAAAAATCTTCGTATGAAACATTAGTAATTCATGATTTATGTTTTTTGATTTTTGCACTATGGCTTCATGCCTTTATAATCTCACCTGGATCATTGAACGTTTCTTTTTTTTTTGGTAAGTTATTTGCAACCTTTATCAAAAGCCCAAAAATTCACCTTGTGCTTCAGATTAGTTTACATAACACTTAACCAAATCCCTTACAAAAGATCAATTTGAATTGTGTTAAAAAGATAAAAAATCTTGGAAAATTTTCGGATAATATATCGATGTCTCCTTTTTGTGATCTCAACATATATGATCTCAACAGGGTTGGTGTAGTCGGACTACCACAAAAGCAGTGCAAGACAGTTTGGTGGGGAAGAAGACAAGTTTTCGACTTGTTTACGTGCAAAAGGAGATGAAGTATTACTGTAGTAGGATTAAAAAAAGAAAGAGACTCCTCGGCATCTTTGCGCCGGAAGAACATTTCTGATGTTTGTAAGGAGGAGTGGAGTGCTCATTGTACTTATTGTCTTACATGTTCTAGCGGTTCTATTGTTTCTTGCCGTTTTTTTTTTTTTCTTGCAGTAACTTCACCAGTTATAATTGATTGTGTACTTATTATGTTGGTAGTATTGTTGCCTGGAAATTTTGAGATCTTTCGTCATCTTTCGAAATTAATGGTGAAAGTCTTGAGAATATGCCATTGAGGTCAAAATTTTGCTGGATTAATTTGCTGTTGGATATCATTCCATTCCTATCTTTTTTAAATCCACAACTTTGCATTAATTAAAACCTGCTTTGAATGCGTTCTTCTATTCCAACATTCTTATGGTTTCCGATGCGTATTTGTGTGCTTAATGTTTTTTACATTTCAGTTTACTTGCCGTACCTGTTTTGGAAAAATAAGCTGCTCACAGAAATCTCCGCCTACTAGTCTGAATCGGTTTTTCAGAAAGTGTTTCTGCCTACGACTATAACTTAATACGTAAGAATTTAGAATCTGGTTTAAAAAATTTGACATCTTTACTATAGAAAATTCATTTCTTAAGTTTTGGAGTTACTTATCTCTAATTGGAGGTAACAATTGAAAAACTAGATATCCGTGTAAAGCAGGAACATAACAGTTTTGTTTAGTATTCCTTACAGCCATATTCCTTATCTTCGCAATTATTCAGCGTAAAATTCATTAGGGTGGAGGATAAGAATGCCTGAGTGGTTGCATTACTTAATCTTCACTGTAACTTATTTCTTGATTTTCCATTTTGTTAAAACTATTTAATTATCCATCGCATAAAGAAATATACCATTCAAGTTTTTTTTTCTGCTTGAAGTTTTCATTTTGCTGGTAATTTTCTCACCTAGAATTGTTTTAGCCATTTGTTATTTCTTTGCAATCCTTTCTCTCAAGTCGCTTTTACTTTTTTTGTTAATATTTTAAATTTTTGTTCATAATATTGTTGATCATAATTGTTGATAAAATAAAGTGAAAAAGCGTGCTTGTGCAGCTACATAAATAAGCTATTAGAAAGATAATGAAAGAAATATGGGAACAAAAAGAAAAAAAAATCAATCAAATTAAATTTTTAAAGGTAAAAATTGCGAAAATAAGAAGTGGTTATGATAAAGGTTATGAAATCGTTAATTTTTAATTCAAAATGCATAGTAAAAAAAAATACACAATTATATGAAGCAACGAGTAAAACAATGGATATATCGAAAGTGTTAAGAAAGTACTCTTGCGAAAAGGATTTTCCATTCAGAGTTTGTCTTGCAACTGAAAAAATTGCACGATATATGTAGGTAATGCTATCTTGATAAATTACTTAGCTCTGAAATTCTAGGAAATGTCGAGACCAGGAGGTTAAGCATTTAAAAAATAAACTACAAGACCAGGCAAGTAAATTTCCAATAATAGAAGAAATAAGAAAGATGAATTTGATGCTTGGAATAAAAATGAAAATGGATAATCAAAAATTTATGGGCGAATTAAGTCATCGTGGATAGTTCAAAAAAGTCTTTTTTTCAACGTTTAGGCTGTAAATCAAAAAGGCTTTTTGTAAACATATCCCATAACTGTACTGTTTTTGGTCAATACAGTACCTGATGGATGCCATAATGACATAAAAATTTAGACGACAAATAGAACATGAACGAAAGAATTGCTGAAAAAAATCTTATTAAATTGTGCAAAAATCAGAAGTGGTAATTTGTACGTAGCCTTTATTTGACTATTCATTCCTAAGAAAATGAACAAAAATCTGTATTAATTAATAGAAATAATTGAGAGAAGAAAAAAAAAAATGTTTATGTAGAAGAATGGTAAGGATGTACGAGGATATGATATTAGTACGAGGATGTTAGATTGAGATGTAGTAGAGACAAAAAAAATATTCGAAGAAAAAAAGGATGGAACAGTCTCCATATATTGGATGAAAAAAAAAAATCTTCATGAGCGAGAAAGAATAAAGACTCTCGAGCGCGAAAGATTGCAGAGAAATACTATTATTATGAATGTTCATTTTCGTCACTATTTTCTTGTCTTTTTGTTGCGCCAGAATTATCAAGGAAAGTATGGGGTATTTAATGATTAGCATAAATAGAATTATGTGTAGGTAAATTAAAATTATGTGTAGGTAAAAAAGAAATACTATTATTATGAATGTTCATTTTCGTCACTATTTTCCTGTCTATTATTATGAAAAACTCTCGAGCGCGAAAGATTGCAGAGAAATACTATTACGTGACTATTTTCCTGTACTTTTGTTGTGTCAGAATTATCAGGGAAAGTATGGGGTAGTTAATGATTAGCATAAATAGTATTATGCGTAGGTAAATTAAAATATGTAAATCAGTGTTTTTCACCCTGTATTCTTTTACCATAAGTAAATAATAGTTACGTCACTGGTCTTTGTGCTTAGTGAAAATTTGATAAGTTTGCTAATTTTATAGAATTGCGGCTCCCATGGAGGACCAAGAAATCGAAGTGCTTTTCGAATACCTTAAAAGGGAGCCGGAGATGTACCGGATTTTGCAAAGGTTCGTGAGCAGGACTGTTCAGGTAATTTTCACTTTGTCTTCCTCTTTTTTGCTTTTATTTTTTACATTATTATTTTTTTTTATAAATTGATACAGTATGAAGAAAGAGTTGCTGAACTTTGCACTGCCTTAAATTTAAAAAGTGACTGTAAAAAATAGCTTTTTCAGTTTGAACAGTCGCTCATAGAAAGGATGGCGGAGGCGGGGTGGAGGTTGGAGGAACTGGTAGGGCAAAGTGCCCAGCCAGCAATGGAAGAGGACCCGGTACCTCAGGAGCCGGAATTTAATGAAGAAGAGGCAGAGTGGGCTCCTCTGCCTGAGAATGAAAATGGTGATGAGGTCGAGAACTGGCCATCAGAAGCAGAGTGGACCCCTCTGCCGGAAGACGAAGAAGAAGAAGAGCCTGAGGTACCGGGGGTACCAATGGAGAACGAGGAACCGGTAGAAGCAGTAGGCGAGCTCGTCCTGTAAGTTTAAGTTTTAGCAGCTATTGTACGGCAATTGTATTAATTTGCTAACTAGATATTAACTTAGCCACCAAATAATTTGCAATAAATATAAAACTGTTTCAGACGAAAGAGGACAATAAGAATCCCGGTTCCTGCCATGCAAGAGGCAATGGCTGCGGCACCTCCGGAAAAGTTCGAACCAGTTGATTTAAAAAATCTTCCGGAGCAACTCCGAAGAGAGTTGATAGTGCCGCAAGCAGAGCCATACACGGTGGCACAAGGAGAAGGAAACAAGAACATCGGTAAGTTATTATTTCAGCAACTTAAGAAATGATTATATGCCGCAATTTGTAGAAGAAATATAATCATATTTTGACTTCGTACTGATAAAATCATATGATTTCGTCGAAAATTTCATCCCTTATAATGCACCAAAACGACTACAAAATTCTATATCGATACTCGAAGAACAATTTGTTCAACAATATTTTCTTACTATTTCTATTTTCAGTGTGTGGCCTCTGCTGCAGGCAGTTTGAAACGTTGAAAGGGTGGCGCATTCACGCGTCGAGAACACACAAGCAAGATGGTAAGTATTGCGAAATGAATTTCCAATTAGTTTTTAAAGATATCGCTACATTTGATTCATTTAAAAGCCAGTAGACTGATTAATTATACATATTCCAGGCTTTTGTGCCCGTTGTGGGCATTACCTCTTGCTGCCACCTGAATTTACGGCCGCCCAAAGAACGGCAGCAATGGAGCTTCATGCCCTCGATTGGTGCCCGAGGGCATGCGCGGCCGTAATAAGCGAACGACAGGTGAAGCGGCGCAGACTTGACCTAGTAGGAAGAGAAGAGGATGCGCATCACCTCTTCATCCCAGGTAAGAAATTAATTAGCATTGAAGAAGTGAAATTTAAAAGAAAGTTAAAAAAAAATGAACGGCCATAGAAAATAAAATATTCGTAAAGTGGGTCTCGTAATTTTTCTAATCAATGGTTTTTTTCAGGCTAATATTATTGCCTGGTCTTCCATATGCGGCTACCTGTCGCTGCCTGCTGCGAATCTCCATCCTCTTCCAATGAAAGACGTCCAAGCTGGTTAGTAACATCCAAAAAATTAAAAAAAAAATGAAAAACTAACAAATAAAAAAAAAAAACAAAAAAATAAAAAAAAAACTAAAAAATAAAAAAAAAACTAAAAATAAAAATAAAGCAAAAAAATAAAAAATTAACTAAAAAATAAAAAAAAAACCAAAAAAAAATCGAAAAAACCTAAAAAAAAGATTCAAAAAAATATAAAAAAATAAAAAAAAATTTGATGTTTAATTTAATGTAAAAACAACTGATTTCAAAATATGGAAAAGGCTGAGGAGTTTGTAGCTGCTTTACGTTTTTGTATGTCATTTACCGTCCTAGTGATAGAGTAATCAAAAGCTTGTAAAGGGCATTTTTTTGCCATCACAAGCATAAATCAAATTACTTGGAAATCAGTTGTTTTTTCTTTTTTTTTTCCTTTTTTGTTTTTCTAGCCTTTGGGCAGCTAATTTTTATTGAAAATTATGTATTTTATTCATTTTCATTTAAATAATGTAATTTAATGTTTTAAATTTTTTGATATTACTTATAACTGTTTAATAACTGTTTTTTTCTTTTTTTTTTTTTGATTTTCTAAACTTATCACAATTATTGTTTTTTTTTTTTTGGATACACAAACAGTAGTTTGTGTTACTTTATCCATTATTTTTGTTTAATGAAAATTTTCATTGTTATTTTAGTGTTACTAACGGTGTTAAATTTTTTATTTAATTTTATTGCCAATTTATTGTATATTTAATTTTTGCACTTTCTTACTTGTAATAAGTTCTTTACATTTTAAGATGATTTTTTGGCTATTAAAAAAAAGCACAAATTTCTTCATATGAATATATTTTTAATGGAATTGAGCAATTTTTGAATGTTTCTGTCTGTATTTAAGTAGCATTTTAATTTAAATAAGATAAGTTGTCAAAAGAGGATAGATTCAATGAGATGTAATTTAAAATTTTTTTTTGCGCTAAGTCATAAGTTGGTATCAATTTGTAATTATCTTTGTGTGTATGAGGTGGAAGGGAGTGTAGGGGTGGTCGAAGGGAGGTACAGAATTATACCTTCCTTCGTCAGTATAACATTAACTAAGCATATAGAAAAAATTTTGGTTTTGAAATTCAGATGACGAACCTTCTGAAATCTGGAATAAATTTCAAATTTTTGATCTCTATTCATTTTTAAGGATATTTTTTGAATTGGTAGAGCTTTGGGCTTTAAAAAGATTTCAAAAATATTTAATTTTTGTTTTTTTTTTTTTAATTTTTGCGTTTTCAATTTTTTTTCTGAATTGAGTTAAAATCAAAAATCTTTTTTGAAATTAATTCTGTTTTATTCGGATTATTTTTTGGAATCTTTTTTTGGATTTTTTTTTTTTTTTTTGGTAATTTTTTTTGGATTTTATTAATTGAATGCTTTTTTTCATTCATTTCATTTGTTGCTATTTTCATTTTTTTATGCCTTTAGCATTTTACTTCTTGCTAACTTTTTTCCATTCCACTAATACTAATTTATTTTTGTTGTATTACCACTAATTTGTATCACTTTTTTTTTTGTTTCAAAAATCTTTCACTTTTATCTTCTTTTTGTTTATATTGGTTTTGCATGTGTTTTCGGTTATTTCTACTAATTGCGTGTTTTTTTATTTTTTTATTTTTTTTTATTTTTGCTATTAACACGTACATTTTTTGTATTTTACTAACTGCATGCTTTTTGTAACTTTTTCTCATGAACACTTTTTCTTTTGTATTTATTGCATGCTTTTATTTTTTCGTTGTTCTCACTCGTTTTTTATTAACTGTATTTTTGCATGCATTATTTCGTTAATTTTATTAACTGCATGCTCTTTGTAACTTTATATTATTTGATGTTTTTTTATTAACATTGTTTTTGCATGCGTTTCTTGGCTAGTTTTATTAACAAGCATGTGTTTTGTGAACCTATTTACACCATTTTTTCGTTTGTATTTATATTGCATGCTTTATTTTTTCTTTGTTCTCACTCGTTTTTTTTTTTTTTTATTAACATTGTTTTTGCATGCATTTTTCGATTAATTCTATCAACTGCATGCATTTTGTATCTTTACTCACACATTTGTTATTATGGCGCACATTTTTTTTGTATTTAAATGCATGCTTTTTTTGTTGGCTTCACTTATTTCTATTAACACCGTTCTTGCATGCGTGTTGAGTTTATTCTATTAACAGCATACTTTTTGTTACTTTATATATTTTGCTGTTTTTTAATTAACATTGTTTTTGCATGCGTTTCTTGGCTAGTTTTATTAACATGCATGTTTTTTGTAAACTTACACCACTTATTATTAAGATGTACACTTTTTTCTTTTGTATTTATTGCATGCTTTTATTTTTTCGTTGTTCTCATCATTTTTTTTTATTAACATTGTTTTTGTATGCACTTTTTGTTAATTTTATTAACTGCATGTTCTTTGTAACTTTTTCTCACGTACACTTTTTTCTTTTGTATTTATTGCATGCTTTTATTTTTCACTCGTTTTTTATTAACATTGTTTTGCATGCATTTTTTGGTTAATTTTATTAACTGCATGCTTTTTGTTACTTTATACCATTTGCTGTTTTTTATTAACATTGTTTTTGCATGCGTTTCTTGGTTAGTTTTACTAACATGCATGTGTCTTGTGAACTTACTTACACCATTTAATATTAAGACGTACACATTTTTCCTCTGTATTTATTGCATGCTTTTTGTTATTTGGTACTATTTGCTGTTTTTTTATTAACATTGTGTTTGCATGCGTTTCTTGGTTAGTTTTATTAACATGCATGTTTTTTGTAAACTTACACCATTTATTATTAAGATGTACACTTTTCTCTTTTGTATTTATTGCATGCTTTTATTTTTTCGTAATTCTCATCGTTTTTTTTTTTTATTAACATTGTTTTTGCATGCATTTTTTGTTAATTTTATTAACTGCATGTTCTTTGTAACTTTTTCTCATGTACACTTTTTTCTTTTGTATTTATTGCATGCTTTTATTTTTCGCTGGTTTTTTATTAACATTGTTTTTGCATGAGTTTGGTTATTTGTGTTAACTGCATGCTTTTTGTAACTTTACCATTTTTTGTTGATTGATGAGTACATTTTCTTTTTTATTTGTGCATGTTTTTTCGTTGTTCTCACTCGTTTTCATTAATATTGTTTTTGCATGAATTTCCTAATTCTGTTAACTGCATGCTTTTCGTAACCTTTTTGTTGTTGATGAGCAGATTTTTTTTGTATTTATGCATGCTTTTTTCATTGTTCTCATTCATTTTTATTAATATTGTTTTTGCATGCATTTCTTAATCTATTAACTGCATGCTTTCCCTAACTCAATCACACCATTTGTTGTTGACAAGCACATTTTTTTGTATTTTTTTTTCATGCTTTTCTTTTTCTAACTTACTGTCACTCCCTTTTTTTATTAGCATTATTTTTGCACTCATTTTTCGGTTAATTTCATTAACTGCATGCTTTTTTTACTAATCTCACTTGCTTTTGTATTAGGTAATTTTTTTTATTATTCACATCTCCTTTTTCTCGTATTCATTTTATGCTAACATTGTTTTTTGCACGCATTTCTGTTGCTTCAAGCTTACCGCATGCTTTTCGTCTTTTTCAAAGGTTTGTAACTTTTAGATTTTCTAACTTCCAATGCTTATTTTAGGCTGCTACTAGCCAATATTCTGGAGCAACTGGTCAAATTGGTTCTAGAAAGTTTTTTCATTTGTGTGCAGCTTGATAATTCAGCTATAATTATATACTTTTGGAATCGCAATAAAATTTTCGTGTGACTTATGCTTATATGAGATGGCGATAACACTCGAAAAGTAAGCAGTTCCACTTTATTTCTAATGTGTATTTTCAAAAAATTATGCTAACGGTTTGTTCAAAAACTTATTTTTTTTCTAAATTTTCTCCATTCATTGCTCAGTTTTTTTTCATTCAAGAAGAGTTTTTTAATTAAATTGTCTATCGAATCATATTAATTTCTTGCACCTTACTTTATTATTTACATAAGTTTGGTTTATTTCAGCTCATATTAGTTATAGTTAGCAGTAACAAATAAAAATTCATTTTGATAAAAAAAAAGGTTGAATATTTAAAGGTATAAATTATGAAGTATTGCTAATATTGTCATACAAAGCAGTAGTGTTTTATTGGATACCGGGCTGAGATCATTTCGTTCTATTCAGTGTTTACAGTTGTTTGACCAGGCAATATGGTAAGTAATTTCGTACTGCTTTCACGTCTCTTTTTCTCGAATATTGCGAATTAAAACAAATATTTCAAAATCATGTTTAGGTGCATAGAGAATTCTGATCAGTCAATTGAAAAAACTCGAGATGTTCATGATCATTTTGAAATTTTTCTCAAAGAAGCGATTTTAAGTTTAATTCGATGTCAAATTATTTTTAAGACGAATATACAGGAGAATAAGAGATTACGCAGATTGGAATTCTGTAAGTATTTACAAAGAAATTTTTTATTTAAATTTCATCTGCTCAGCTCTCTTTCTGTTAATTACTTTATCTGTTTGGTGATAAGTGATAAATTCCACTTTTTCTTTTGCTGAGAACTTCTTTCATTTGTTTTATTTTTCAGAAGTATTATATTGTTAAATTGTTGAGCCAAAAACACGCGAATTTCTAACCAGCACTTTAATTAGATTCTCAGTAGAGGTAAACTATTTATTTGTTCAAACACGACTGAGTAACGAATTGAAGAAAATTCACAGCAAGTTTTTGCTAAATTTGATGGCAGTTTGTATTATTAAAGTGTAGCACACAAGAATATAAGATTACATGCTTAGCTAAATTACTGTTTATTCCTTGGTGCACTGCATATTCCCAGCTATCTTTGAGATAGACCTTAAAGATGTTGTTTTATTCGAGATTTTTGTTTCACTATTACTGTTGAAAAATTTATTAATATTTATATTTTGCCCATTATCATTCTTCCTGCATGCAATATTTCCATAGAATAGAAAGTGCGACAA